CCCCCCCCTCAGGGAGCGGCATCGTCGTCAGACTACAAACACCAGTAACCTGACGGAGCTCATAGTATCATCTCGAACGACACATCACACCTTAAAATAGACTTTTTATTCTTTTCACAGCGTGTTTAGATTATCTCAGTTTGGAAGACCCGTTTGACCCATTAAACTGTATTAGCTTTAAAATCTTTTTTTTTAAAGCAAGACCATCCTTGATATGACTTATTGTGGCACAAGAGCCCGGTCCACCACGATGTAGAAGCAGGAAGAGAACTATAACTTGTCTACAGAGCTCGCTTTACTAATTCAAATCTATACAACTGTAAGCACGTTTGGAAGTTTATTAGTCATAGTGATTGCTAGAGGTGATGTTTTCCTACTTAAACATATTATTTCCGAGCATATTTTTTTTTCTTGATATAGCACACATCACTCCTACAACTGAATAAATCTGAGTTTACTTAGACCCCAAAAACAGTTGTTGTGTAAAGGGTGCTTACCCAAAGACTGAAAGACTGAATAATACTCGAACGTTCACTTCTTTAATTCAGATACTATTTTTAATCATCTAAATTGCTAGTGGCGGTATCTACAATGTTTCCGGTTTGATACTGTATTGAGGTATTGTATCTTGTCTTCTTAATATTGGAAAAGAGATTTTTCTTAATGAGTTTATAGTATAAACGCGCAACAAAGGTTTTTATGAACCCAGGTGGCGACTTTAAAAAAGTTGCGTTTGGGTTTTCGAAGATGCTTTTTCATAATCACGGAAAGCAATATCTTTTTATACCTCAACTAAATCAAACAAATGCATTTTTTTCTCAGGTAAGAAAGGGCATGAACGCAAAGTTCACTTGCTCAGGCACAACAGACCCCCAAGAGACGCACAACTTGAAGGTGTCGTGGCTCAAGGATGGCCAGGCTGTGGACATTACGTCTAACATGTTTATCAATATACAAGTGAGTTGTTCTTTTTCTTAGTTAGTTTGCTTGTTTGTTTATTATACTCAGGATTCCTCTTACTGTGTATACACTTGTATAGCCTAATGCAATATTACCGTTGCTGTTCGTGTCCTCACTCAAACAGAGCACTGCAGTCGAACTTCTAAATCCTATTTCCTCCTTATTACCAGGACAACTCTTTGACCATCAGTGGCACAGGCGTCCGAGATACTGGCACCTACGCATGTGTGGTCAGTAATGGACTGGACAGCGATTTGGCGTCAGCCAGACTGGTGGTTACAAGTAAGTTGAAACCTTTTTTTTTAAAATCTTCTTTTAAAACCAAAATATTATATTCAACATATTTTACCACACCTGTGGAGGGTTCCCATTTAATATCTGGGACAGAATGTCTTTTAAAGATCAAAATAATCTGTGTCTTTGTTATAACTGGAATTAATCGATATCAGACTTGGATCCTTTTGAACACAAAATGACTACGTTTATAATACCAAGTGAAATGCAGCTATCTCAGGAAACTGTCACCTAGACTGTTCAGAGGAAATAACAACACTACACTGTCGTTTGCTGTGGATACATGGATAGATATATAAATCAGTACAGCTTTTCGGGTAAGTTTTAGAGTTACACCTTAATGTTGACTGTATTGTTTTAACGGGGAGTCGTTGAGGGATGAAAAAAATTCAAATAAAACAGATACGTTCGATTTTGAGCAAGACCCACAAGCGCTTTAGTCCATGCCTCAACAAACGAATGAACGACCACCTAAGTCAATAATTGTATTGACAATGTGTTATTTGACTAGAAAATTGAATCAGTTAGAATGTCTTTTATTTCCGATACTGTTTTGTGATTTTTTTGTTTCTTTCTTTGTTGTTTTATTATTGTTCGCGGCAACTTAGTTACTGCTGCCGCTGTTGTTCTTAAATCTCGTAGGACGCGCATTATGGTCTTTCACACCCCTTGATGAAGCACAGTTTAGGGGCATTTTAAAAAAGGAAGTGGTATAGATCTATCTTCGTCGTTCAAACAGGTTTTTTTTAAAATAAGATTTTCTCCATCTGAAAGTTAAAATACCAAACTGCAATATTCATAATATGAAATATGCAAATTTGTGTAAATGATCTGTGTAGTATTGTACGAAATGCGCCATAGCATGGTCTTTGGTCTGCTGTCGGACATATTATGTGTCCATTACATCTTTAAAGAGTTAATGTAGTTATTGCTGGTGCTGCTGCTTGTCTGCTGCTAAATTTTTGTTAGTCTGGGATAGTTGTTTTTTGTGGTGGGGGGGGGGGGTGTTAGTTCTTTGTTTGGTTGTTTGCTAGTTTGGTTGGTTGGTTGGTGGGCTGGTTGTTTTTGTTTTGTTTTGTTTTTCGCCAAGTCTCTCCCCATAATTAAACCAGTTTGGACTGATGTCCTCAGATGTGCCGGAGAAGGCTACTGACGTGAAAGTGCTCAACTCGTGCAACGCAGGAACCTACGCTGAGCTCGCGTGGATGCCGGGCAGTTTCAACAACGCCCCCATCCAGTACTTCACAGTGGGTACGTTGGCCTTACATTCCAGCCGGCCTCCTGCTCTTTATTGGATACTAATAAATTAATATTTTAAACCCACATCGACTCAGTTTAGATATTTAAAGAGGTGGGATGCTTTACCTGCCCACTGAACCTCCTAACTTGTATGTAAACAATTGTGTTTTAAAAAATAATCCAACGGATTATAGCAGTTCAAATGATATTACAGTGGTGACAGCTACATTACTAATAGTAATAACAATGATAAGAATATGAATATGAATATGAGTATGAATATGAATATGAATGTGAATATGAATATTATGAATATGAAAAAGACTTTGACATCGTTTTAACTCTCCTCCAGAATACAGATCCTCAATAGACCCTAACCACTGGGTATTTGCTAATACCACAAACAGCAAGAGAGCCGAGGCGAATATAACCCTGTCTTCTGGAATAGACTATTCGTTCAGGTAGCTTACCTACATTATCTATCTATCTATCTATCTATCTATCTATCTATCTATCTATCTATCTATCTATCTATCTATCTATCTATCTATCTATCTATTTATCTATCTATCTATCTATCAATAAACCAGTACCGTTTTTAAAATGCACATCTCAAATTTGCTTTTGTGTATATGTGTGTATGTGTGTATGTGTGTGTGTGTGTGTGTGTGTGTGTGTGTGTGTGTGTGTTTGTGTGTGTGTGTGTGTGTGTGTGTGTGTGTGTGTGTTCCAGGTGTTTAAGCTACCCAGTAAGTTTAATGTCATGTTCGTGCAATTGAAGCTCTAGATGCGTTCCCTTATATAATGTACAAGGATACTTAATATAGTGAATGCAGGCAATTCTGGGATGAATGCACCCAGCTTACTCTTAAATACATTGAGTAGGCTACTTGTACCGTGTGGTTTTTGCCCAACAAGTTTACTTCGTCCGTTTGGCTTGTCAGCTAAGTTATGTGAGACTCGTGAGACGTTCTTTGATAGACACATGTGTGAATTAATTAATTAATTAATTAATTAATTAATTAATTATTAATTAGTTAATTAATAATGGAATAGTGTTTGAATAAATGAATGAATTTAGTGTTCTTCATTTTGCAGGAATTAGTATACATTTTATGAAATATAAAAATACGATAGAATGGAGAAGGTGAGAATCCAAAATAATGTATGAATACGGTCAATAATATATTCATCAATGTACGTATACGGTCAACTACTTCAAAAAAGAACAAAATTTCCACCTTATGTATACAGTCAACGTCTGTAAAAAACAACAACAAACTTCACCAATATTTATGCTGTCAACGTTTTCAAAAAGAACAAATTCCCTAATGAAAGTATTCATTAGATGTTTTCAAAAAGAACAATTTTTTCACCAATGTACGTATACATTCAACATTATCAAAAGAACAATTTCACCAATGTATGTATACAATCAACGTGTTCAAAACGAACAAATTCACGAAACTACTATCACTTTTTTTCCCAACAGAGTGACGTCATTCAACAAGATTGGCCAGAGCCAGCCTAGCGCACCGTCCACCTCCCAGTGCGTCACGTCCAACGCTCGGCCCAAGCGAAACCCGCGCAATGTACGGACGATCGGGGATCTCCATGGCAAGATACACATCGAGTGGACGGTCAGTAGCTCGGGGTCACTAAAATAATAGATTAATTTTTTATTGTCCAATCGACACAATTTAGATAATTAAGGAGCGAGCTGTTTTGACTCAGCATAGGTTCAAGACAAACAAACGGGTCTTTCGCTTGTAAAAGTTACCGTATGTTCTTCCAGTAGCCTGTCCAGGTGGACTTTATCTTTATTAAGAGTTTAATGGCACTTTCAACACCGTAAGGTCATATAAAGTGCCAAAGATTACATTTGCTACTAGAGAGCTACTTACAAAGAAAAGAAGAAGGAGAGATGATGACGATCGATGCTTGATAGAAAAGAAGGAGCAAACCACACCAGACCGCCCGGAAACCACCCACCGATAAATTTAGAGATCTCAACTTAATTAAGTATCTAAAATTAAAAAGGTGCCATTAACGAGTCATAAATATAAATATGATATTCCTGTGCCAAGAAAAAACTACAATGTTTTGCATAGAGGTACTAAGCTCAAACACGCTCTCACAGCATTGTATCACGACGTAGTGGAATCAGGCGCTCGTCAATTTTGGGGTATGTGGAGTTGTTGGTATTATCTTATAGCGCTCTTGTTCGTTTTGCTTACAATGAAACAAAAATCTATCTTGAAAAGGAGTCGAGATATTTGTGATTGAAGGAAGGTAGAATTGGTGAGTAAATGGCGGCCAAAGTTTGGTGACTTCCATAACTTCAGGGTCCTTGACAACGGAAAACTAACAGTTTTTGTGCCTTTAAGTAACATTTTCTAGTAAAATCTACTCAGAAATGTGGTCTAACTGAATATAACAGATTTTGAGCCAAAGAACAAAAATTCCATAAACATTGCTACGCCGGCGGGAAAATACAGGTTTTCTCGATTTCATTATTTTGACGAGCACGTGATTTCACTACGACGCCTCTCATATGATTCTGTTCCCAGCCTGTACCTCCGGAATACCACGGGGAGACTGGCGTAGCCGGGAGTAGAGCTGTCCTCTCGTATGAGCTGAGGATACACCGCTACGGCGATGCAGACACCAACGTCGGCTCGAAGACCATCCAAGACTGGAAAACGTCCACCTTCAACATGAGCGTAGGGACTCCCTACCATCCTTTCAACATCAGCGTAAGGGCGAAGAACTCGAATGGTTTCTCCTCCGAACAGGAGCATGGAGTTGTCGGATATTCCTATGAGAGCAGTGAGTTTGTTCACGTGTATACTGGTTTGGTTTGTAATTTGTTCGATTCTTTGTTTTGCAAACACATTTGGCATTGGACACCTATGGCGTTGGGTGTTTAAGGCCCTTCCAAAACTGTGACGCTAATTATGATGTGGAGCCTTCAAGTGTAAAGTCTGTCTAATAGTACCTTGCCAGATTGAGAGCCTTGAAAACTTCCCAAATTAATTTAGTTCAAGACCGACCCGTAGGTGATTTGAACAAGGGCCATCCGAGCCACAGTTTAGTACCCGATAGTAGCAAAACGATTCTCAGAAGTCGTAACTTCCATTTTCGAGTGGAGAAGTTATTTCTTTAATGCGGTTCCTTTTAACACCGCCATGGGCACTATGATCTCTAAGGCAGCTTTTTACCATGGGCATCCTGCAGTCGCATATTGGGGGGGGGGGTGCACTTTTTGTTATTACAACGTTCATGTTAAGACCTTTCCGTAATCTACGAACTCCAAGTGTGCATCAGCATACAAACACACATTCAAGTCGGAGTTCGTTTGTGAGCTGTGCTGTTGTGTGTTTGGTTTCTCCTGTCTTTGGCTGAGTTTAATTTGACGGGTTAAAATGTTCTTCAAAACTGAGGTTTCATCGTATGCAAGGTTTGGCTGTTTTTTGCGACAATGCCATGTGTGAAATCTATTGTAGTCAACACTGCTGACGATGTCTGCAGGCTTTTGTTTTTCAATTTTACACCAGAAAGAGAAACAGGCAGAAAATCAGAAAGACAGGCAGACAGTCAGATGGACTGACGGAGACATATGAAGATAAAGTCAGACAGATGTAAAGACGGGCGTACGGGTAGACACACAGGGACAGCGACAAACACAGAGACAGAAGGAAAGAGAATACGAAAAAGCTTATTATCCACTCCGACATATTATTCTATTTTTGACAAGTGCATTCCTAAACCAACGTCGTATGGTTTCATGGTTAAGTCCTTCGCATTTGCACATAGAAGATGTGAGCTCGATGCCCACTTGTAGAGGCATTTCTTCACCTTTCTGTCAGAATACTATATTCCATAGCCAAAACATCCCGTTTTCAAACCATCTAAATTGTGCAGTTAATAATTAACAATCAGGGACTCCCTAATGAGTGCCATTATTGATGTAATCACTTCAACTTAGATTCTTCACAACTTTCTCAGTGCCTGAGATCACCCCCACAAACCTCCAAGTGGCGGAAATTAGGTCCTCAAGTGCCCTCTTCACATGGGACTTCCTGCGTGCGGAGATCGGGAAAGTGGATACCCTGATCAGAGGAGAATTTAGAGGTTTTCAGGTGAGTCTATTAAGTGTACACAAAACAATGTGTTGTCTTCTGGTACAATCTCAATATCAAGGGCGTTTGGTGGTATTTCATATCCTAAAATAAAAAAAGATTCGCGAAATAATTGGCGTATTGAGGTGCTAGTCTTTTTTCATGTAAGTATATGAACACAATGAAATAATTTTACCTGCAATAAAATAGGGACACGTTGCAGGTTCGGTTGTGAAACCCAGGCGTGCAAAGCAAGTGAACCTGCTACAAAGTCAACTCGTGAATTTCCAGCATATATTTGGAATATTTGAAGCTTGTCCATTGCTCTCCAAAATTTAGTCTCCGTTCTATATTGGACATCGATTTTATATTGGAGGTTCAATCTCTGACAAAAACTTTAATATTATGGTTTATGGCATATGAAGAAAATAATATGAAATCCTTTTCAGCCGACCTAAATGGATTGGATGACTTTTGCTCTGCTGTAAGCTACTCCTTCAAACCCCCCCCCCCCCTTCTCCGTTCTCTTTCTTTGTCTCTCTCTCTCTCTCTCTCTCTCTCTCTCTCTCTCTCTCTCTCTCTCTCTCTCTCTCTCTCTCTCTCTCTCTCTCTCTCTCTCTCTCTCTCTCTCTCTATATATATATATATATATATATATATATATATATATATATATATATATAAATCATATATCACTCTCTCTCACTCCCTCCTCTCTCTCTCTTTCTCTCTCTCTCTCTCTCTCTCTCTCTCTCTCTCTCTCTCTCTCTCTCTCTCTCTCTCTCTCTCTCTCTCTCTGATATCTTTTATTCATTCTCGCATTCCTGTACACTCAAGTAATCTTGAATTGTTAATAGGGCAGTATATTGCAGTTTCAAACAACTTTATTTGAGATGTGATTAGCAACGAAAACACAATTTTCGACCTGTACTCACCAACCGTTGCCTCTTCTCAGATCCAAGCGTGGCAGGAAAATTACCGAAGTGACACCATCCGGACCTGGAACCTGAGGCCAGAAATGCTTCCCGCCAACCAAACGGGAGACCAGTTTCAGTACCATATTCAGGTTGTACGATACAGATGATTTTTACTTCAAGTTCTTATTTTGATTTGTGAGACAGTTCTGTTCAATTTCTATCATCATCAATCATCATTATCAACATCATCGTCATCATCATCATCATCGTCATCATCATTATTATATATTATTTATTTTATTGTTATCGTTATTACTAAGTTACCATTAATAAAGTAGTAGTAGTAGTAGTAGTAGTAGTAGTAGTAGTAGTAGTAGTAGTAGTAGCTGCAATTACTCAAAATTAAGCAGTTCTCGCCTGTACAAATACAACATCATAATTTACTTTGCTTTCATAGTGATCTTAACCCTTTGACACCTGACTTTCTTTACCTACTGGACCCCTACATCTGGGCTCCGGACGGAAATCTCATAGATTCAGACTTCTTCACAAGACCCCAAAAAGCTCAGTCAGTATCGTTATGAACCATAGTGCTGATGGCCTGGTTTTGAATCTCTGTTGGAACAATCTTGTGCTACAAGAGGACGCACTTTTAGTTGTCTGCTGAGCTTTAATAATAATAATAATAATAATAATAATAATAATAATAATAATAATAATAATAATAATAATAATAATAATTGCATTTAAGCTTTCAAGTTTCTCCTTCCTTTGGGCCTTTATCTATCCGATATGGATGTTGGATTCGGGGGTCCCGCCCGTTTCTGACCTTATAGTGTTAAAAGAGGCTTTAAAACCATACTTTAGGAGATCCCTAGACAATGAGGCGTACTCTCGAGTTCATAACTTTAACCAAAACGGCAAGCTACTTTGCTATTAATTTTGGATATCTGCAAAGACGTTATGATAAATAGTACTATTTATAACCTCTTTGGTTCTCTTAGATATGTACATCTTTATAAAATGTATGCTTTCCATAAAATGAGTTCACATTCATTTGTTTTTGGATTCATGTTCCCTCAGTCTCTGCTTCCCAACACAAACCTCGTGGCCCGGGTGTCCTTGCTCAACAACTTCTACGTCAGCACACCCTCCGATACTGTCAAGTTCATTACTCCACCAGGCCGTAAGTGGAATGGCATACTATAAGCTTGTTTTCTGTTCTAACCTCAGGAGGCAACTTGTATACGTGTATACCGTGTGCTTGTTGTTGTTGTTATTGTCTTCGATGTTGCCGCTGTTGTTGTTGTTGTTGCTGATGTTGTTGTTGTTGTTATCGTTCATGTTGTTAATATTGTTGATGTTGTTGTTGTTGTTGTTGTTGTTGTTGTTGTTGTTGTTGTTGTTGCTGTTGTAGTTGTTGTTGTTGTTGTTGTTGTTGTTGTTGTTCTTCTTCTTCTTCTTCTTCTTCTTCTTCTTCTTCTTCTTCTTCTTCTTCTTGATGTTCTCGTCGCTGTTATTATTGTTGCTGGTGTTGTTGCTGTCGATGTTGTTACTCTTACAATGTTCATGATACACACAGTAGCGTTTTATGGGGCTGGTAAGGATAAGGACCAGCGGCAGGTCTATTTATTAGGGTAATGTATAGCACACATCACACGAGACATATAAACGACCCTTCAAAAAGCAAGGAAACAACTGGAATTCGTATTTGGAATTAAAAGAAAACATTGAGACTATTTTGAATTGTTAATGTATTAATCCGCCCCCGCCCCTAATTTACTCACGCGCTCATATGACCCTTTGTAGTTGCAAGCGCCGTAAAACTCTTACTAAACAAATCTAATTGACACAATTCAGATCATTAAAGAGACAGGGTGCCTATGGGGGCCAACCAGCGTTGAGTGGGGTGCCACATCCTAGAAGAAAGGTAGAGATACTCAATGAAAAGACTACCTCTCTGAGAAGAATCTCACGTCGTCTTCTTTTCTTTGTATGTCAGTAAACCTCAAATATCATTGACTCTTTAATAAGCTAATAGTATTGCAAGTGCCGTAAAATTCTTACCAAAAAAAAACTATAACTAAAACTTCAGCATGTTTACTATGATGGTGTCCACCTTTCTCTCTGTCCACAGTTCCGGGTCCTGTAGAGTTTATGGAGGAGCTCAACATTGGCGACACCCACATCAACCTACAGTGGCGACCTCCACTGGACAATCGGGGTGACCTGGTTGGTTTCGACATCGGTTACCAGGAAGGTGAGTCCGCCAAATCTTGCCCACTGGCTTTGATTGTGTAAAGGTTAAAACGCCATTCCCTTTTGCTAGTGACTGCTTGCACTTCAAGCAAGACGCGACTCGTTTGTTTGTTTTTAGGACTTTTTTGGGGTTGCTTTTTATTCTTTGCTTTTTGTCGTTGATTGCTTTGTTGTTTGTTGGTTTGTTGTTGTTGTTGTTTGTGTTTTTGTTGTTGTTGTTGTTTTTTTTTTTTGGGGGGGGTGCTTTTGGGGGTGGGGTGAGCTAGTTTGCACTTCAAAGACGATCAAAGGACATTTTTATTTAATGTATATTGATCTTCATTTCTATTGTATTATCACCTCCTGGAGTTCGAAACTAGCGTAAGGTGACCATTTGAGCAGAGGATAATAATGTGTTCGTCGAATCGCAAGTGGTGAAGCTTTCCAGTAGGTTTCTCTGATTGTCTCTTGGGCTGTTGTACTTCACAAAGCTCGGGTTGGCACCCACACACAACTTACAGGGCATACTACTTCTAGAAATGCAGAATAGAAAAAGCAAAAAGAAAACAACACATACTGTTTTTATAACCGTAGAACGTTGCTCTATCCTTGCCGCAGTACAAGGTCTACATCTGGAAGAAATGCAAGAGCGACAACCGCAAGTCAATGATGGGTACGCCACAACAGCCATGCTTAGCGGACTTATGCCCAACACAAAATACAGAATCTACCTGTGGGCTCGAACCGCTGCCGGCCGAGGCGAAGAGTACTTCATAGAGAGAACCACAAAAGATTCTTTCGGTGAGGGTTTTTTTCTCTTTTTATTCTTTCTTTTTCCTTCTTATGTTCATTTTTACCATCTTATACATTCACGGAAAACTACCCTTTGTATTAAAAACTCACTTTTTTACTTACTTACTTACTTACTTACTCTCTCCCTATACCGCCAGGTACATATGGTGGAGAGCATTCAACACCACATTTGCCTGGCTCTGGCCACTATCCAATCTCGGCACATCTACTTTTATTATCGAAATTCACTGAAAAGTACATGCATTCAAAATTCATTATAATCATTAGAGAACTCCGTGTCACCGATACACTTTCTGAACATTATTTCTGAGTCTGCATTCACTAATCAATCAACAGGCCACTGTATTAATCTCCTATAAAAGAGGATGAGAACGAAGTTATTTTAAATCTTCAATCAATCTGAGTTCCGATTTGATTCGACCCCAGGCCTCCCATCTCGTAGTCCAGTCCAGTTTCTTACACACAGACAAAACCAACTGAACCATCGAGTTTTGTGCTCTATTTTACAACTTTGCCTAAAATTGAATGATATTGTGCAAAGTTTTTTGAAAAGCACAAGAATAGCTTGTTTGTAAAGGAACACACATATTTCTTGTCAGCTAATTTGTGATGACCGCGATGGAAACATCGTGCACTCTGGGGTGAATTAGATTTGAGCTTGCAAGTTTACTCTAGAACATTCTCTCTCTCTCTCTCTCTCTCTCTCTCTCTCTCTCTCTGCCTG